GACCCCTCCGGGACTCCACTAGATATGCCCACCCACTAACAGTGAACCATTGATACCTACTCTTTGAGCACAGTATTTCAACCAATTTTGCACCCACCTAATAGCAATTTCATCTAAACCGAATTTCCCTAGTTTGCTTATGAGGCTGTCATGTGGGATAGTGTCCAAAGCATTACTAAAATCAAGATATCTCTCATCTATTGCTCCCCCGCAGTAACCCTGTCAAATTAGGTTAGTTAGACATGATTTCTTCTTGACCATTCCATGCTGGCTATTCCTTATAACCCTATTATTCTCTAGGTGCTTACAAATTGATTAATAGTTTGTTCCAGTATCTTTCCAGCTATCAAAGTTAGGCTGACTGATCTCTAATTCCTCAGGTCCTCTTTGTTCTCCTTTTTAAAGAAAGGTACTGAGCTTCTCTTCTCCATTCTTCTGAGACCTCACCCATCCTCCAGGAGTTCTCAAAGATAATTACTAATGGTTCCAAGATTGCTTTAGCTAGTTTCTCAAGTACCATAGGATGAATGTCATCAGGCCCTACCAACTTGAATACATCTAACTTATCTAAATATTCTGTAACCTGTTCTTTCCCTATTTTCCCCCTTGTTAATATTAATTGTGTTGAGTATCTAGTCGGCATTAGCCTCTTTAGTGAAGACCGAAACAAAATAGGCATTAAACACTTTGACTTTCTTGATGACATCAATTATTAGCTTTCCTTCTCTGCTAAGTAGAGGACCTACACTTTCCTTTGTCCTTCTTTTGCTCCTAATGCATTTAAAGAGCCTCTTTTGTGTTCCTGGCTCATTCCCCTCAGAGACCGAGTACAGACTCTTGAGACCTGAGTGGCTGAACTAGAGAGTTATATATAGAGGAGACTTTCAGAGCCACAGTAGAGCAATCTCACCCTCAGTCTGACTGCCTCTGTGCTGTTGAGGAGGATGAAAGTCTCAAGGAAAAATAACATCAAGCTGGAACAGAGGGAAACGATCCTATAGTTGGGACACTCATTCCAGATGATGTCATAGTATCCACTTGTGTGGGTGGGGATCCCAGTTATTAGGAAGAGACAGGTAAATGGTAATAATAATTATTAGAAATACACATAGCTGGGTTTGTGGTCCAAACAAACCATGTACGGATCCCTATTCTCTTCACCAACAAACACTAGCACCTCATAGGCCTGCCAAGGGTTATGCATCTCACGTGGCCATCATGTATCTGACAGGTCTGTCATGCATTCCTGCAGAAGTGGTAAAATGTTACCCATTTCTTGTATACCTATTATGGAGGCAGCAGTTGCAGCTCCATAGTTAATACCAAGTTGAGTTTCCCCCAAACTTGGGTCCAGAATGAATTTTCTCTGAATTTACAAGTAAATCCATTAATGAATTTATGAATTACATTTCATTTTTAAATGGTTCCTTTGAGAAATTTAACATTTGTGTCAGTCTTTTCTTTGCCCAGAATGATCTAAATAACAGTGTGATAAACTGGGAAATATCTGTATTATTTCTTAGAAGTATGGTGTGCCCCTCTATGTATTTGTTGAACATGGATTGTTTGATATGGGATTAGATTAAAAGGGGTTGTTAAAGCAGTGGTTGTCAACCAGAGATATACGTACCCCTAGGGGTATGCAGAGGTCTTCCAGGGAGTACATTAACTCATCTAGAGATTTGCCTAGTCTTACAACAGGCTGCATTAAAAAGAACTAGCAAAGTCAGTACAAACTAAAATTTCATACAGACTTTATACTGCTCTGTATACTATTCACTGAAATGTAAGTACAATATTTATATTCCAATTGATTTATTTTATAATTATAAGATAAAAATGAGAAAGTAAGTAATTTTTCAGTAACAGTGTGCTGTGACACTTTTGTATTTTTATGTCTGATTTTGTAAGCAAGTAGTTTTTAAGTGAGGTGAAACTTGGGGGTACAAGACAAATTCGTTTCCTGAAAGGCGTACAGTAGTCTGGAAAGGTTGAGAGCCACTGTGTTAAAGGAACCAAGAAAGAAAGGTAAAATTATGACACAGATAAGAGTCCTTGAAATCTGTTTATAGGGAAATACACCCTACCTGGCTCCAGTCAGACAAAGAACAGCTTACTCTTCCCAAAGCTAAACCTAGGACCAAAAAGGAGGATACTAAATATTAGAACACCCTTGATTTAGAAAAGGATAGAGTGGTTAAATGAATAGCCCAGGACATCAGTGAGAACTGATAAGCTGGCAAGAAGATAAGGAGGAAGAGAGAAGCTGAAACTGCTTCTTTTTGGGCAACAAATCTGAAGTACAGTCCCACACTGATGTGTCAATAGAAGAGGAGAACAAATTGATAAATTAAACAGTAATAAGTCACAAGGACCAGATGATATTCACCCAGGAGTTCTGAAGGAACTCAAATGTAAAATTGCAGAGCTATTAACTGTAGTATGTAACCTATCACTGAAACAAGCCTCTGTACCAGATACCTGGAAGGGAGCTAATGTAACACTAATTTTTTTTTAAAGGGCTCCAAAGGCGATACTGGCAATTACAGGCTGATGAACGTAATTTCAGTACCGGGCAAACTATAGTAAAAACAGAATTATCAGACACACAAACACAATTTGTTGGGGAAGAGTCAACACCGCTTTTGTATAGGGAAAAGATGCATCACCAATCTATTAGAGTTCGTTGAGGGTGTCAAAAAAATGTGGATACGGCTGATCTAGTGGATACAGGGTATTTGGATTTTCAGAAAGCCTTTGACAGAACTATAGGCTCTTAAGGAAACTAGGTAGTCATGGTATAAGAGGGAAGTTCCTCTCGTGGATCAGTAACTGGCTAAAAGATAGGAAAAATAGGGTAGAAATAAATGGTCAGTTTTCTCAATGGAGAAATGTAAATAGCCAGGTTTCCCCACGATGTGTAATGGGACCTTTGTTGTTCAACATATTCATAAATGATCTGGAAAAAGGAAATGAACAGTGCAAAGAAGAGTTTGCAGGTGATACATAATTATTTAAGATAGTTAAGTCCAAAGCTGACTGTGAAGAGTTATAGAGGGATCACACAAAACAGGGTGACTGGGCAACAAAATGGCATATGAAATTCTACTTTGCACTTATAAATGTTATGCACACTGGAAAAAATAATCCCAACTACATATACTTACACAATGGGGGACTGTACCATGGGAAGCAGCAACTCTGAAAAAAATATAGGGATTGTGGTGGATAATCAGCTGAATAAGAGCTCCCAGTGAGAAGCTGTGGCCAAAAAAGCAAATGTAATCCTTGGATGGATAAACAGGGGAATCTCAAGTAGTACTAGATAGGTCATTTTGTCTCTATTTTGGCACTGGTATGACCATTGCTGGAATACTGTGTCCAGTTCTGGTGTCCACAATTCAAGAGAAGAGCCACAAGAATGATGAAAGGATTTGAAAACGTTCCTTACAATGACAGATACAAGGAGCTCAATCAATTTAATTTAACAAAGAGAAGTTTAAGGGGTGACTTGATTACAGTCTATAAGGATCTTCATGGGAAACAGATATTTAATAATGGGCTCTTCAGTCTAGCAGAGAACGGTATAACATCATCCAATGGCTGGAAATTGAAGATAGACAAAATTCGACAGGAAATAAGGAGCAAATTTTTAATAGTGAGAGTAATTAACAATTGAACTTCACAAGGTTAGTGGTTGATTCTCCATCACAGACAATTTTTAAATCAAGATCGGATGTTTTTCTGAGATATGCTGTGGGAATTATTTTGGAGAATTTCTATAGCCTATGTTATACAGGAGCTCAGACTAGATGATCACAATGGTCCCTTCTGACCTTCAAATCTATGAAAAGAGGTAAAAACATCACAGGATAAGCTGTATTTATCCCAAACCCAAGTATTATAAATTAATGAAATTCAGATTAAAGATTACACTTCAAAAAAATCCAAAATATATGCACAGTTAAGGCACCCAACCAACCTTAATTCAACTTAACTCTGCATTGTAGTGACATCATGGGGGGGAAATTATTTTAAAACTAATGGGTTTTTTTAAATCAATTTTATCTAGTCTCAGACAACAAACACTAAAATGCCTTTATCATAATCATATAATTTTTGCATGGCGTCACTACAGGGTACAGTTAAAGTTGTTTGGGTGACTTATCTGTGCACTTCTGGACATTATCATATTTTGATTTCTTTTAAGTGCCAACTTAACTCTGAATTTCCTGGGATCTAATACTTGATTTTTGGATAATTACATCATCTCCATAATGTTTTTTTTTCACCTAGTACCAGACTGGCATTTACCAAGTGACTTTAATATCCCCTTAGTTTGGTGTTCTTTCAAAGTAGATGCAAAAAGAAGTAATCTCACTCTCTGAGCTGCAGTTGTGCTGGGGAAAGGGAGAAGCGGGCAATACAGTTGGATGGAGCACAGAATCCGCTTCAAAATCTCATTGTTCTATGTTCAGCAAAAATCTGCATGCTATGCACAATTCTGGACTAATTTTCTGCCTGCCTCATCATGTACATTAATCTTAGAAAATAGCCAACAGTCTATATGTGCAGAAGAGCTAGTGCTTACAATCTTAGCTGTGTGTGTGTGAACCCAACACTTGACAATGTAGCCCTAAGTAATATGCTTGAGGACACACAGAATTTCTTTGACGGAACTCATCTCTTGCTTCCCAGTATTGTGCTTGAACCACAAAACCAAACTCTCTCCCCAAGTACAGCACAAGAAAGCATGAATAATTTAAATTTCAAAATCTGTTTGGTGTACTTGATTAATTTGCTCCCCTTTGTGGAGAAGAGGTTAATGTAAACTAATTTGAAATTTTGCACTACAAACAGAAAACACATTTTCAAAATTATAAATACTATAAAAGGCTACATTTTTTTCAGGAAATAACTTGTGCATTAGATATTCTTTTACATGTTTTCAGGAGAGTGAATGATATAACTAGGAAAATAGCTTTGGATCTTTGACTTACCTCTTTCCTTTTTTGAAGCAGCAGCTCCAATCTTTCATTAGCTCTCTTACCAATCATTTTGTTTCTCTCAGCTTCATACTGCCTCTGTGTATTATCCTGGTGAATACTCAGGTTTAAGGCAACATTCACAAGAGCAGTCATAAGCTTCATAGCTGTAAAGAGTGGAAGATAAAGGAAGGTTACTCACCTGTAACTGAAGCTCAAGCATATTGCCTCTGTAGATCCACACTCATGGGACTTGAGCAACCCTTGACACATGGATACAGAACCATCTGGAAAACAGTTCCCATCAAGGTCACACCCATCCCCCTCACTGATCCAAACATTAGAACTGAGAGTATATAAGAAATCATGGCCCCAACAACCCTCATAGTTCCTTCCCAAGTATTCAGAGTAACATTAAAATTCCTTGTTGGGGAAGGAGAGCAAGTGAGTAAGTTAGTGTGGATCTGCAGAATCAATATACTTAGAGAAGTCCAGTTACTGGAAATAACTTTCCTTTCTCCATTGAAAATTGTCTATGTCGATCCTGACACACTAGTGAGAATGAGTATGAGTAACAACTCTATTCAAGAGAGCTGAAGTAAAGCCCTGCATGGGACTATTTTTTTAATCCCGCTCCCATCCCACCCCACAATACCCACTTCTACCCACTCCGGCATTGTTTCTTGCATTTTTATCCCACCCGCAAAAACCTTAAGATCTTGCAAATCCAGTCTCTTAGCTGTTTTGTCTGGTGGAGTGGACTTCTGTAGTTGCTGACCTGCTCATTCTGCAGCCACTTGGACAACAAGGGAGCTGGGGAATGGGTGGGTGAATAAGAAATCTGCCCCCTTAGCTGGCACAAAGTATCTCCTCTTCACCCACATAAGTGTGGGCACACACGGGGCTGGTGTGTGCCACACTGCCCACACCAGTTCCAGGATGGCCACCATGGATGACCCTTGGGGTTGGAGAATGTCCAGGAGTCAACACTGTGGGTCCTGAATCTCCTCCAATGGGATTCCCAGGTCTGCCGCTACCCTCTGCAACAAGTCCTGTATTGTCGGTGATCATCCGGTAGAGAGAGCAGGAAAGGGATGACCACCTCATCCAGTGTCGAGGATACGCCAGTCGGGACCGGTGGAGCTAGCAGCACCAGCTCAATGTCCTCCTCTTCTTCATACACCGACGGTGCTAGTGGATGGTCAGTAGACGCCTGAGATAGTGTGTGCTGTCTGTGGTAGTCATTGGTTTGGCTGAACCAATGGGGTCCCAGATTCAGCCAAAGAGAGGGGTCCATCAGTCACAGTACCAGGCCCCTTTTGTAGGGTCATATGCCAGAGGGGAGGGCAGTCCGGGTCATGTATCCAAGACTCTGGTGTTGCATCAAGGAAAAAGACTGGTCCAGCTCCGAGAACTCCTCAGATTCAGAAGACTGTTCATACCAGAGGGCTGTGATGAGTCAGAGTTGGGCTTCTCCATCAGCAGCAGAAGGGGTTCATCCTTAGGAGTACGGATGTCGCAGGCGAGCAGAGGGCTGGAGAGAAGGAGAGATTGCAGGGATGGGAGGATTAACTCCTCTGCTGTCAAGAATGTCTCTGAGCAGTCAGGGGTCCATGGAGCACCAATGGAGATGCTGAAGGGGCCTGGCGGGTGTCTCGTGGGCCAACCTGTCTGGCAGGCGTGTGGGCACCAGCAAAGTGGGTGGTGCGTGTACCAGTGAGCATTCTGGCTGTGTGATGAGATCACCATCGGATCCCATTTGCGCCTGGCCTTACCTTCCACCTGGGGAATCCAGTGTAGCTGGTTCTGTGAGCAACGTCTCACCCAACCTGGATCAGCTCAGGGAGGAAACACTGCGTTTGGGAGCAGTCCACTGCGGGGACCTGCTCTTATGCCCATGAGTGTGTCTTCTGCTCTCATGTCGGGACTTGTCCTTAGCCTTCAGTACTGCTGGTTCCAAGGCATGCGCGGTGCTCAGAGGGGTGCTCACCGCCAGTGCTGGCTGCTGTACAGGGGGTTCTCCTGGGCCTGGATCCTAGTGCACCCAGGGCCTCATTGCTTTCTCTATTAGATATTTGCAAAGGCAGAGCTCACGGGCTTCCCTGATCCAGGGCAGGAGGGACTTACAGATGGTGCAGTGTGCCACCATGTGTGCCTTGCCCAGGCAGTAGAGGCACCACTGCTGTTCTTCACTCAGACAAGGAGCGCGGGCAGGAAACATAGCTTTTGAAGCCCAGATTCCTGGCCATAGTCTGGGAGGGTAGGGGGGAGAGGAAGGGAGGCAGTGAGAAGGAACTGAGGGGTGGTCGGTCCACCCCGCCCTTTATCGCCTGGGACAAAACCATGAGGCGGCGCAAGGGCACACGTGTGGACCAACAGATGCTACTACTTTCAAAATCTCCAGCTCTTGATGCATGGTGCATGCATATGACCCTCAGTGGATTCAACAAGTAATAGCAAAAACATTTTAAGTACATCAGAAGCAGGAAGCCTGCTAAACAACCAATGGGGCCACTGGACGATCAAGATACTAAAGAAGCACTCAAGGATGATAAGGCCATTGAGGAGAAACTAAATGAATTCTGAGGAACTTTCCCAGATTGAGGTGTTTTTAGAGGTGGTATTGGAGCAAAATTGATAATCTAAACAGTAATACATCACCAGGACTAGATGGTATTCACCAAAGAGTTATGAAGGAACTCAAATGTGAAACTGCAGAACTACTGAGTGTGATGTGTAAGCTATCATTTAAATCAGCTTCTGTACCAGATGACTGGAGGATAGCTAATGTGACACCAATTTTTTAAAAAGGTGCCGGAGGCGATCCCAGCAATTAAAGGCCAGTAAGCCTAATTTCAGAACTGGGCAAACTAGTTGAAACTATAGTAAAGAACAGAATTATCAGACACATAGATGAACATGCTTTATTGGGGAAGAGTCAACATGGTTTTTGTAAAGGGCAATCATTCCTCACCAATCTACTAGAATCCTTTGAGGGGGTCAGCAAGCATGTGGACAAGGGTGATCCAGTGGATATAGTGTACTTAGATTTTCAGAAGCCTTTGACAAGGTCCCTCACCAAAGGCTCTTAAGCAAAGTAAGCTGTCATGGGATAAAAGGGGAGGTCCTCTCATGGATCAGTAACAGGTTAAAAGATAGGAAACAAAGGGTAGGAATAAATGGTCAGTTTTCAGAATGGAGAGAAGTAAATAGTGGTGTCCCCTAGGGGTCTGTACTGGGACCAGCACAGTTCAACATATTCTTAAATTATTTGGAAAAAGGGGTAAACAGTGAGGTGGCAAGATTTGCAGATGATACAAAACTACTCATGATACTTAAGTCCAAAGCAGATTGCGAAGGGTTACAAAGGAATCTCAAAAAACTGAGTGACTGAGCAACAAAATGGCAGATGAATTCAATGCTGATAAATGCAAAGTAATGCATATTGGAAAATATAATCCCAACTAAACATATAAAATGATGGGGTCTAAATTAGCTGTTACCACTCAAGGAAAAGATCTTAGAGTCATTGTGGATAGTTCTCTGAAAACATCCACTCAATGTGTAGCGGCAGTCAAAAAAGCTAACAGAACATTGGGAATCATTATAAAGGGATAGATAAGATGACAGAAAATATAATATTTCCTCTATATAAATCCATGGTATGCCTACATCTTGAATAGTGCGTGCAGATGTGGTTGCCCCATCTCAAAAACGATATACTGGAATTGGAAAAGGTACACAAAAGGGCATCAAAATGATTAGGGGGATGGAACAGCTTCCATATGAAGAGCAATTAACAAGACTGGGACTTTTTAGCTTGGAAAAGATACTACGAAGTGGGAATCTGACAGAGGTCTATAAAATCATGACTAGTTTGGAGAAAGTAAATAAGGAAGTGTTATTTACTCCTTTTCGTAACACAAGAACTAGGGGTCACTAAATGAAATTAATAGTCAGCAGGTTTAAAACAACCAAAAGGAAGTATTTCTTCACACAACGCACAGTCAACCTGTGGAACTCTTTTCCAGGGGATATTTTGAAGGCCAAGACTAAAACAGGATTAAAAAAAGAACTAGATAAATTCATGGACGATAGGTCCATCAATGGCTATTAGCCAGGATGGGCAGGGATAGTGTCTCAAGCCTCTGTTTGCCAGAAGCTGGCAAAGGGCGACAAGAGATGGATCACTTGATGATTACCTGTTCTGTTCATTCCCTCTGGGGCACCCGGTACTGACCACTGTTGGAAGTCATGATACTGAGCTAGATGGACCTTTGGTCTAACCCAGTATGGCCGTTCTTATGTTCTTAATACAATACAACAGCTCAGTCCTTTGTGGACAAGAGTCTATGTCAGAAAGCTGCCTTCACTGTAACTGGCAACCTTCAGAGACATGAAGTGAGCTTTCAAGACAGGTTCGTGGCACACTGCGGGGAAGCATCAGTAACAGTTTGCACTGCTACTGCCTGTACTGCATATGGCTGGTAGGTAAGCAGAGAGTTTCAGTTTTCGGACTGACAGTCAAGGATTTTTCTCAAGCAATACATTCATACAGAAAATAATGTTTTAAAACATCAAAGATGCCATGAGAATTGGAAAACTATACAGTAGACTGTATAAATATAACCCACTGCATTGAAAAATATAAAACTGAAAACAACTCAATTGTCTATTAATATTTAATCATACTACTGAAGAATTCCTACTTTTTATATCATAGTTTAGTGTACACGTTTAATTAGGAAAACTGAACTTTAGTAGAATTAAAATGTGTGATATTTAGAATCTGAGTGTGATTTTCAAAAGCACTCAGTGTATGTCTTATTCTGCTTCCATTGAAGTCAATGGTAAAACTTCCTTTGAATTCAATGGGGAGAGACTTAGGCCAATGAGTGTATGAAAAACTCCACCCTTTGTGCTTACTTACCAGCAAGTGTACTGGTATGCCTGAAAGCTCGGACCTGGGAATCCGACAAACCAGTCAGAAGAGAGATCACTGTATCCATCATATATTCATCATAAATGATGCTATACTGACACTGTCGAATCAGCACTCCAATGAACTCACAAAAGTTTGATCTAAATTTTTTCCATTGTGGCCCAGGCATGGTAAGCGGGTAATCACCACTGTCCTGAAAAAAGAGAAAACGTTTATACTCTATATTACAAATGCTTCCCATTCAATCCTATTTTATACACAGAATTTGTATTCTACAAAAAGGAAAACACACATGATTTTCTGTGGTGTATATGGATTTCCCTTTCTCTTAGGGCTGGATCCTGCACCATTGAAGCAATGGGAACTTTACTATGCACTGGGCACAAAACTAGGTTTCTAGTCCCACTTTTCAGTCATTACATGGTGGAAGTGAGAGTGTGATACCTTCAGTTCAGTCTGTCACCTCTCCCTTACTATCCTTCCAACCTCATCATCTCAGACATAGCTGCATTTTGATGGCACTGCACATACACAGTTTGTAAGTGCTTTGTTATCCTCCAGAGTGAAAGGACTACATGTAAAATATAAACTCAGTGGCAGCTTTAACTACAGAGTGACTGCTGTCTCTCCATATCATCAGTGATTACGTATTCCATCAAAACAACCCTATGAAACTTGAATGTTTCAGAGTTATGATCAAAAGTCAGGCAATACCAAAGTTAAAGTTTCTGTGGAGCTTTAAGTCTGCTTCCTTGTGCATATGCATTCTGATACAGCTTTTAATTATGTGATCAAATGCTATTATTTCCTTAGGACTCCTCTCTCAGAGCAGACTGAAATGTGCTATGTAAATAAGCAGATGTGAAACTCTTATTTTCAAATAACTTGTTAGTACTGAAGAAGAAAGCTGCACACACTACAATTACTATCTGGCAGCCAACATTAAAATAATGCATTTACTCTATACAAATCAAATATGCACACAAAAACCTAAAAGAAAATTATTAAGGTTCCAAAGTCAAGCAGTTAAAAGCTGTGAAATGCCAGAATTCCGGTCGCCCGTGCAACCTTAATTCACCCACTCTCCCCATGTACATACATTAAGATACAGTCTTTAATTACATGATCGCATATGATTTTTTCCACAAGACACTGCCTTATTCAGTGCACAGAATGGATGTTGACCATTTAATGAGCAACTATTCAATATTTTGTTGTCTTCTTGTTGTTAAGGCTTCTAGACTTTATTTGCTGCACAATATTCAAACCCTACTCTGAAGACAGAATTACTAACTTCCTCATGGACTTTTCTGTGGTAATCATCACTAGAATATCCGAATGCTTCACAAACATTAATTAATTTAGCTTCACAACACCCCTGTGAGATGAACTGATATTTATCCCTTTTTACAGATAGAGAACTAAGACACAGGGAGATCAAGTTTCCTTTAATTTTGAGTGCCCTATTTGAGATGACTAGGACCTGATTTTTAATAGTACTTGGCATTATACATAACACTTTATATGTTCAGAGCACAGCTCCCATTGACTTTAAATGCAACTATGAATGCTCAATTCTTTCGCAAATCAGACCCGAAGGCCTCAAGCTGGCACCCAGAAAATGAGGTATGCACAATTAGTGACCACCTGTGAAAAGTTTGGTTTAACTGGCTTGCCCAGCATCACATAAGGCCTCCATGGCAGAGGCAGAGATAGAATCCAATTCCCTAGGGTACAATTCACATGTCTTAACCATGAGACTACCCTTTCCTTTCCTGCAATCCCCTGGAGTCCATGTTCCCTGTATCATGAGATTGCCTGTTTGTGCTCCCCAGCCTACAAGGGGTGCATTGCTGATGATAATCTTGTCCAGAAAGGAACCCTATGCAGACATGACATAGGTCCATCCACCATTGGGGGGGATGAAATTACCTTGTGGGGAACCATCAGCATGAAGTCCATGCCATGATGCTTGGGAGAATAAAACATCTGGAGCCACATCTGGAGGCAGCAAAGGTGGAGCTGTGCGAAGACAGTGACGTATGTACACGAGTCCATGTGGCCAAGGAGGGACAGGCAAGTCCTGGCCGGGACAGAAGGACTGTTGATTATGCAAGTTATGAGTTCTTGCAGTGTGTGGAACCTATCCCGTGGTAGGTAGAGTGCCCTGTCTGAGTTGATGGTGGTCCCTATAAAGTCTAGGGATTGTGTGGGGTCCAAGGTTGATTTTTCGACATTGACCTCGAGGGAGGAAGGGAGGCTGAGGAACATGGAGGTCGAAACTTGGACTTCACATCTGGATCAAGCCGCCAGGAGCCATTCATCAAAATATGGGAATACGAGGACACCATAACACCTGATGTAGGCTACCGTGATGGAGAAAACCTTGGTGAAGACTCTGGGAATGGTGGTGAGTCCAAATGGAAGAACACTGTACTGGAAATGGGGTGAGCCGATCATGAACCTCAGGAACTGTCTATGGGCCAGATGGATGTCGGTGAAAGCATCTTGCATATCGAGAGGCAACCACATGCCTTTTTCTAGGATGGGATGACCACTGCTAGTGTGACCATACAAAACTTGGACTTGAGAAACTGCAGATCCAGAATTGGTCTCCATCCGCCTTTGTTCTTGGATATCAGGAAGTAAGCTGAATAGAACTTTTTCCACAGGAATGCACTCTATCACTCTTCATTGCAATAAGGCACTCATCTCTTGGGTGAAGATGCTGTCATGAGTGTGGTCCCTGAGGAGTGACCAGGGGGGCTGCGGATGAGGTAGTGTGATGAACTCAATCATATACCCATGGTGGATGACATTTAGCTCCCATTTGTCCATTGTTATTACACTTTAAGCTTAGGGAAAAAGGGAAGGGAGGAAGGTGTTCACATGGTGGTAGACAAGGTGGTTGGTGGCTCTTGAGAATATTCCAGAAATATCTTTTAGCTGGGGGTTGCATCTGTGTGGAGGAAGTCTGTGAAGGTGGTCCTGGGGGGCCAGGATCTCTGTATCTTCTACTGCTTCTGTGGAGGCTCATAAGGTCTCTGGTGGAAAAACTGGGAGGACTTGTATCATTGTGTGAGCAGCAGAATCTGCTCTTCAGGGCAGGTGTATAAATATTCAGCAAATGCAGGGTAACTCTGGAATCCTTGAGGGTATGAAGTGAATCATCCATTTTCTGATTAAAAAGATGAGATTCATCAAAACGGAGGTCTTGGATGGTGTTCTGTACCTCCCTGCGTAAACCAAGGGAGTGGAGCAATGACTCCCTCCACATAACTATGTCCAAAGCCATAGACCTGGAAGATATATCCACCATTGACTGAAGCATTGTTCTTGCCACCAGTTTCCCTTCCTCCATGATCACCTAGACACGAGCTCATTCTTGCTGTGGAAGTTTTTCAGTAAATTACTCGATTGCTATAACTCAGGAAATCATATTTAGCTAGTAAAGCCTGATGGTTTGAAATCCTGAATTGAAGGCTGGCCAAGGAAAAGGCCATGCGGCCTGAAAGGTCCAACTTCTTGTCCTCTTGTTGCATAGTGTGGAAGGTGGGTGTTGCTGGACAACAAGTGAATTCGGTGGGGGCGGGGGAGGAAAAGAATCTCAGACCCCTTAGCTGGAACCCCTCTTTGGGGGTATGCATGCCTGTGTATGCCATACTCTCCTAGCTGGCTCGAGGATGGCATCATTGATTGGAAAAGCAGCTCTAGTTGGTGCAGATGAATGACGGATATGCAGGAGTTTACGCTGTGTATCCTGGATTTCCTCTATGGGGATGTGAAGCTCCCCTGCCACTCTACGGAGGAAGCCCTGGAATTTTCTGAAGTCGTCTGGAGGCAAAGGGGACGCTGAGGTTACTGCCTTACCTAGTGAGGAAGATTAAAATCTCTCCAGTTCCATGGCACCATTGGAACCAGGCTAAGAGACTCCTCTTCCAGCATCGGTTCTGAGCATCTATTCGAAGGCGCCCTTAATAGGGAGGCAGGTGAAGTTTCCCTGGAGGACCGGACGGGTTCGGGGGGGGGAGGGGGAAGAGAGTATTGGGACTACGGCCCCGAACAGGGCCAGTATGCTGGATCTGGAAAGTGTTGTGGCGGGCCCCATGGTGGATATGGAGGATATTGACACGATATAGATGGTCTTCTGGAGTACCTGTATTGGTGGTAGGGGATGGATGGTCCTTGTCCATCGTCCGACTTTTCTGAGGATGAAAACGTGGACTCCGGTTCCATAGAGATGTGGAGACCATTGGAACAGGAGGTGAGGGGTCTCATAATGATGATGTCATGAGTGGGAGAAACAGTCTCCCTAGAGGTGCAGGTTCCCAGCAAATGTGGCGATCTTGGTTCTTCTAAGGTGAAGACGTCTTGGTGTTGGAGTGCTTTTCCTGATCTCCCTGGTGTTAAGGGTGCCCTCTCCTTACACAGCACTAGTGGCAGAACAGTGGACTTCCCCATACTGGATGGATTCCGCACTTTATGGGATGCTGATGTCTACAGTACCTGCAGTTTGGTACGCGGGACCGCCAGATCCCATTGCTTGTGGGACTTCATCTTGTGTTTATGTTCTTTAGAGCGCGTTCCCTCTCCGTGACTCGAATTCATGGAAGGAGCATCCCCTTTCTTCAGTTTCAAGGAAGATTTAACACCACGTTTATGGGCATGGTTCCTTACCTCCCAACTAGGTCCCAGCGTGGGGTCCATAGTCCACCAGTACCAGATCCAGACTCAGTAGCAGGAGGCATGCTCCTGGCTGTTTCAGGCCGATGTACGGAGGAGATTCCCTGCCCAGCTTGGGTCCGAGGGAGGCCTCATGGCAACTTCCATAAGGTGCTTCCGAAAAAGGAGAGCCCAGCCTTCTCAGGTATGGCTAGGGAAGGACTGACAGATACTGCACCTGGATGCAATGTGGGCTTCTCCCAAGCAGTAGAGGCAGCGTTGATGTTCGCCACTGACCAAGAGTACCCTGCAACTCTCCGCAAAAGCTCCTGGAATTGTCTGAAGTCATCAGGCGGGGAGGGGATGATGTAGCAATTGCTTCATTTGGTGAAAAGGAAGGGAATCTTGCTAGTTCCAGTGGAACCACTGGGACCGGGCTAGAAAGTTCTTCCTCCACCATCAGATCCGTGTCCCTGCTGGAAGGATCCTTCAAGGGGGAAGCAGGTGACGGTTCTCTTGCGGATCGAGCATGCTGGAGGGGAGATATTGTGCCCAGGATCCCCAATATGACCAACAGGCTGGATCCGCCTGAGATTGTGGGGGTCCACATAGGATGGGATACCAGTGGCTCTGGAGTTGATGAGGAAGCAGTTGTTGCACGGACATGCTGGTCTCCGTGATCGTGCACAGGAGTGGTATGGTAAGGGTGGTTCTTCCCCCAGTTCTGACTCATCAGAAGAGGAAAAGGCAGACTCTGATTCTAATGACGGTACTATTGGAGCCGACAGGAGAGTGTAGAGCATAGGAGCATAGGACCCAGTATCGTAGGCATGTCCCATGGTGGGGATATGATCTCTTTGGAAGTGGAGGGACCTGATTGAGGGGGAGACTGGATTCAGCAAGGCAAAGATATCTTGAGGTGCAGACACAGCTCCAGATCTCTCTGGATCCCATTGTTTATGGGATCTTTTTCTCATGCCTGTGGGACTTGGAACATACTCTGTCTCCTTGGGCCAAGCTGGTGGAGAGAGTGTCCATCTTTGATTTGGAGGAAGGCTAAGTCCTATGCTTATGGGAGAGCTTCTTTATCTCCCAACTAGGTCCTGCCATGGGATCTGTGGTGGTTCCGCTAGCATCAGAGTTGGACGTAGTGGAAGGCGCACTCCTCCCTGAATCAGACCGATGTACAGAGGATGCACATCATCCATGATTTAAATTTTTCCACCTCATGAACTGCTGAGCTACTTTCCGTCCTCCACAGGGACTGAGATAGCAGATACAATCCTAAAAAGTAGAAAGCACTACGAGAAACACATATTGGAGCACTGAGGAAGAAGACAGCAAAAGACCAAGAGAGGGCTCCAAAACAACCAGCAGAAAGTAAGTAGCACTGAAAGTCTGTAGTGAAGCAAAACAACATTCACTGAACCTCTGACAAAATATGCCAACGTGCTGAAAAACATGCAAGAAGGGTCAAACAAATGGCAAAGTTCTGGCATGGAAAAATAAGCCTCTGAATACCATGAAACAACTAATAAAACATGGAAATGCTCCAACGGGAGAAATGAAGTGGCTGCTGCAAGATGAGCTGCAGATGAATCACAGGGCTGAACAGGCCTTTACTGTCAGGATCAACAGACCCAGAGTGTTGAGTAAAGCATCACAGGCCAACAAAAACAATTACATTATTATGGATCTAAGTGAAAAGGCATGTCTAAAAGCAAGAAAGGTATGGCTGCATGATCAGCAGAGAGCCAAAGCAGCAGTCCCTGGCGTCAAGCTATAGTTATTTTGGGGACTTCCTTCACTGAATGAGATCAAGAAGAAACTCGTATGTTTCTAGAGACAGAAATAGTGAAAGTACGTATTATCTCTAGCCAATATAATAATAATATATGGAGATATGCCTATCTCATAGAGCTGGAAGGGACCCTGAAAGGTCATTGAGTCCAGCCCCTTGCCTTCACTAGCAGGACCAAATACTGATTTTGCCCCAGATCCTTCTAAGCGGCCCCCTCAAGGATTGAACTCACAACCCTGAGTTTAGCAGGCCAATGCTCAAACCACTAAGCTATCCCTCTCCCCGAGCCAGAATGGCCTTGCACACTATCTAGCACTTCTGTACCTCAAAGAGTCAAACAAGGAATCCACAAAACTCTTCAGCTAAAGGATTCTGTCTTACACTGGAAGTGTGAATCCCATGACTAAATATCCTGTACTGATGCTATATTTAGAGAAACAAAATGTAAGTTGAATGTCAGGAAATACCTCCTTGGTGTGAAATGAATTACACTGTGGAGTAATCTCCCAAAGGAAGTGGTGGAAACTCCACTGCTTGCAACTTTTGGTCATCTGATAGAACTTTTCCATGCCTAACTTCCCAGATTCCATTTGATCTCATGCCCTTTGGGTCTGTCATCCTACAAGGCTTATTTCATTTGTGACTGCATATTACCATGTCCATTTTGTTGGAGTATGATACATGTTAAAAGCCTCAGAATGCTATGTTTATGAAGAACTCAGTGTAAGTTGGTCGAATAAAAGATATTACTTCACCCACCTTATCTTCTGATTATGAGAAACCATTTTCAGGTCAAGTCATGTTTGGAAGAGAAAGGGGAAGGATGATGGACAAAGAAAAGACTGATCTTGAAATAACTGAGTTACTGAATACTTACTGAGGCAAAGATTAAAGCCTGCTACTATCTGACCCATATAAATGATCTATTCTCCCACTTCCCTTAAGTGTCCCCACCATATATAGAAATGCATTTGAAAAGCCCTGCCTCTTCATTCCCTGCCAGTCCTCCTCCTCCATTCTTCAGCTTCCCTTCTCCAACACTGATTCTCCTTCTTCTGAGTCTCAAGAACTCTGACTGGATATCTCTCGGCTGTCACTAGCCATTTGATTCCCCGCCCCCTACTCTCAACATTTAAACAATTCAAGGCTGAAAGCGTTTTTTATATTATATTATCTATCTATATCTATATATCTATATCTATATAGATATAGATATATATAAAAACACAAACTCCATGCACAGCTCCATGATGCAAAAATAACTTCAGATTTCTTAGGCAAGATCCCTTCCTTTTGTGACCCCTTGTTGTAATTTATCCTTTAACCAGCAGTGCCTGATCCTACTCCCAGTGCAGAAGTACCACTGACTTCAGTGGTGTGGGATAATTGTTTTTTAAGTGTCCTTTTGTGTCTCTGATTAATGTTTCTAGAAACTACCATTTACACATTTTTAGTATTTTCTTCCTATTCTTCTGCTAGTCTCTGCATATACTTTTTCTATACCAATGCAACCTTCTAACTTCTTAATCTACTTGTTTAAATAGTCACTTCATCTGTCTCTACTCTCAGTCAGTACAGTTTCTTCTACTGAGATATTGCTTATCCATTAGAATAAAGCCCAGTGGTTTCTGAAAAGCCCCAGTGCCCATCAAACAAAATTATGCCGTTTTGAAGGAAAATATATTGCACTCTTATATTTCCAGTTTTCAGAAACTCTTCAGTGTAAATATTTATATACTATACCTCATCAAATTCCTCAGTCATTTTCCTGATGATTTCTGCATTTTGCATGTTCCTGAACATTTCAATTCTTACAGTACCTGTGAAGTAATGAATGAACAAGTATAATTAGTCCACTTTACTTCCATACATCACTCATAATATCAGTCCATTTTAAAGTTTTTCCACTGCTATGCAATTTGAAATTGGTTTGAAAGCTTATCTAGCAGTAATGTTAGCAGGAATACTCTTAACAAGACATGACAGAACCTGATGTCAAGAGAGGGAGAATCCCAGACAGTTCTATGATTCCAAAGTGCCCTCCCCGTGAGCCATTACTGGTGGCATTTTGTAAAGTTAGCAGTGTTATTCTTTCAGTGAGAAGTTAACTAATATCCCATAATATGCTTGCTTGTGGTTGTTCATATAGAAGTTAACAATTCCAAAACATTTTTCAAGAATTGCTTATACACCAGTTGTTCTGTGAAACACTATAGGACTGGTAGCTAGAATATCCCCCATCTTTTTATTTGTACAATTAATACATTTGATATGAAAGTCATTGAAAAAAAATATATATATAAGGAATGCCACATGCCTTTTTTCAATTAGTTTTCAGAGTAGAACATTTTAAGTTTTATGGTAAAACCAAATGAATATTATCTTTCTGATTCAGTGTCCATTATCGTATTAATAATCAAGACTACTTGTTAGAACTAAACAAAACTACAACTAAAACCAGCATGATGTAATACTTACATATTAAACTTGTTGATGAAAAATAAAAATCAATACATGTAACTCAAATAACTTTACATCAATTTAGTGCAATTGATTGAGTGCCCACCATGAAAGTGGAGTGCACTCTGGGTTGGAACTCAGCAGCCTTTCTGTGCTTTGCATTCACTGTATAACATTTTAACAGAAGAAATGAAGAAAAATATAAACAAACTATACAGGAATATTTATGGAGCCATATATCCTGCCCACATTCTATACATGTCATACCCACATTCCAAATTAGTTAATTACATCAAGAACAGCACCCTTACTTTTGCAAAAAGTTCCACCAGATCTGTAAAGTCCTCAGTTTTACATCCACAAAATTCAAATAAAGGGATAGAAGCCTAGCTTCTAGGGAAAAAATGCTATTATAGTCCCAGACAAAAATCTGTTTAGACTTAAAGTTGAGAGCACATATCAGTAACTTAAGGGTATAAAAATTGCAGGGATGTTGAAATTATCCCCAGAACAAGAATTATAAACACAGGAAACCACAAATATGGAACTACATTAACTCTAGCTTTCCTGGATTTGAACTACTTGTTTCTGAAATAATCACAACATCCCTGTAATATTTTATATCCTGAGATTACCGATAGGCACTCTCAATCTTAATACAGTTTTTTAGTCTAGTAATTTCCTTTCTTTTAAGAAATTATTAAAACTGTCATGTATGAACACTAAACAAGAATCCCAAAACGCTACCTTGAGATACTTCTAATGATTTGAAGAAATGTAATAATGTTAAAACATTTTTTATATTTTAATTCTTCTATTTTAACTTTCTTACTTGTGATACACCTACCGAAATTTCTTGTGCTTTGTTTTTATATTTTTAGCTATTTCCTCTTTGAAATCCATCCCTCCTAAATTTTCTCCTACTGTAATTCATGCTCCTCTTACTGGCTTCACCAGGGTTAATTTTCCAAAGTTTGAAGAAACTGGTCAACTCAACCTCTTGAACCTTGCTATTTAGTCATGGTGGGTTACTCTTACCCTCCTGTTTCCCTTTTTGTTCAGAACTATTTATGCATTCTGAGACTCTATTATTGTAATCTTAAAGTAGCATCCAGGCCATATCCAAGGATTTTACTTTCCTTCCTTTTTACTTTGCCTCCCTAATTTTACTGAGCTTTCCCTTTTCAAAGTTCAGCATCACTGTTAGTTTTAGCTATCCTTCCTCCCCAATGGGATGTTTAACATAATTAAATTGTGGTCACTATTACTTAATGGCTCAGTTACTGTTACTTTTGAACCAACTCCAGCATGTTATTTAAGTCCAAGTCAAGAATCACAGAATGTCAGGATTGGAAGGGACATCAGGAGGTCATCTAGTCCAACCCCCTGCTCAGAGCAGGACCAATCCCCAGACAGATTTTTGCCCCAGATCCCTAAATAGCCCCCTCAAGGATTGAACTCACAACCCTGGGTTTAGCAGGCCAATGCTCAAACCACTGAGCTATCCCTTCCCCCTGAAGAACAGCCTCTCCTTTTGTGTGCTCTAGAACAAGCTGTTCTAAGACGCACTTGCTGAAAGTATTGAAAAATTATTTCTCTAAACAATCCATATGCAAATGGTTGCAGTCCCCAAGTACTATCATTTTGTTAGACTTTGGTACCTCTGATCTCTCTCACTATATTGTGAACTCAGGGTATGCTACAATGCAGTTGGCAGGTGTGATTCCCAGCACAGGTAGAGAGACTCACACTACCGCAAGCTGAGCTAATGTGCTAAAAATAGCTGTGTGGACATTGTGGCATGGGAGGCAGCTCAGGTTAGTACCCAAGCTCAGACCCAGGCGGTTAGGCAGGCTTAGACAGCTAGCCCAAGCTGTTGCTTGTGCCACAACATCCACCCAGCTATTTTTTAGTGCTCAAGCAGAGCTAATGAAAGTCTGTCTACCCCTGCTGTGAATCACACCTCACAGCTGAAGTGTAGACATACTCTCAATATCCATTTCTTGAGCTAGAGGCTGGCAGTATAACCCTACTGCCAAGAATATTTGTATTTTTACAGTTTGGAATTTGCATCCACACAGATTCAACTATGTGATTCACTCCACTCAGAATTATATCACACTATGTTCTATGGAATCCTATCAATGATCTTCCCCCACCTCTTTAGCCTAGTCTGTCTTTCCCATATATTTCCAGTGTCCCACTGATTTTTGCCATTCCACCACATTTCTGTAATGCCAATTATATCAAGGCCCTCTTCCATTGCCAAACATTCCAATTCATCACCCTCTCCTTCCTAGCACTCACCAGTCTGTCTGGGTGTCTCTTGATATCTGTTACCCTTACACCTGGCAGGCAAGCCAGTGAAAGTTACCTTACAATCACTATATACCTAGCTGTTTATATTCCTGATGATCAAACTCCTTATCAACGCAGCCTAGCTTTTGTGTCCCAACTGTAATCCCATCTCCTGGAGCGACCGTCTCACTGTGTGAAGAATTATCAGCTTCCTCTACGTCAGTGAGAAGATAGGCCTCATCTAAGAGAGTGTGACCCTGCAAGCGTCCTTGGTGCCTTTCCATCATGAGACTACCTTTCTCAACAAGAAAATCAGGGGAGTCAGTTCTGAGGTGGGCCTGCTCCACAATGTCCCCATATGCTGTCTGTACAAACCGTTCCATTTCTTTCTGCTCATTCATTTCAACACCTCTGGCTCAGGATGGGCTCGGAGGGCCATGAGCTCCTTGCACTATTTCATTATAAAGAACTGAGGGATAATTCAGGACACAAGGTACCTGCTTTGAAGACTTCCAAGCACTGATATCTCTGATTCATTAAGTGCAGCTGCACCAAGACTATATAGGAATAAAGCACTGCCTCATTTTCTAACTTTGTTCAAAGCAGTCATGCTTTGTAGCTACTTGCTTCAGCCTGCAAGGCTTCAGTGGTTTAGTTCAATGGGAAACTTTGCAGCTGTACCTGACGAAGATGGTGTGCATGGTGGTAACCTCACTTTGAGCCATCAGCACAACAAGGGATCTGCTTTGTGAAGTACAAAAGTCATGCAGCAACAGTTCAGTGGCTCAACTATTAAGCTTCACGTAGCCAGAGTCAATGGCACAATCAATGAAGCAAAGAGCAGCTTACTGCTGGACTTAGTATCCACATAACATTTTGATTAAAAAACTAGAATGATATAAAATTAACATAGCACATATTAAATGGATTATACTAACTGACAGGCCTCAAAATGTAACTGTAAATGGGGAATCATCCTCAAACGGGTGTGTTTCTAGTGGGGTCCAACAGGGATACGTTCTTGGTTCTATGTTAATTTAATATATTTATTAATGACCTGGAAAAAATATAAGATCATCACTGATAAAGTATGCAGATGACACAAAAAACTGGGGGAGTAATGAATATTGAAGAGGACAAGTCACTGACACAGAACAATCTGGATCACTTGTAAGTTGGGTGCAAGCAAACAATATGCATTTTAATATAGAATCATAGGGTTGTAAGGGACCTTGAGAAGTCATCAAGTCCAGCCCCCTGTGCTGAGGCTGGAAGAAGTAAACCTAGACCATCCCTGACAGGTATATGTCTAGCCTGTTCTTAAAATCCTCCAATGATGGGGATTCCACAACCTCCCTTGAAAGCCTATTCCAGAGCTTAACTACCCTTATAATTAGAAAGTTTTCCCCAACATTTTACCTAAATCTCCCTTGGTGCAGATTAAGCTCATTACTACTCCTCGTACCTTCAGTGGGCATGGAATACAACTGATCACCATCCTCTTTATAACTAAACAGACTGAGCTTCTTAAGTCTATCACTGTAAGGCAAGTTTTCCAAACCTCAAATCATTAATGTAACTCTTTTCTGAATGCTTATCAACATTTCAACATAATTTTTCAGGTGTGGACACCAGAACTGAACTCAGTATTCCAGTAATGGTATACGCAGAGGTAATATCACCTTTTTACTCCTACCCTCAGCAGCATTGCAATGGGAACCATCTGACTATGAGCTATATATCATGACCTCTAACTTCTATTCAGTCACTGTTTCCAGAATACAGTCCCCTATTCTGGAAATGTGGCCTACTTCCTTTATTCCTACATTTAAGAATTTTTGCCTTTGTCAGTATTAAAATGTATATTGTTTGCTTCAACCCAGTTACCACAAAGCAATCTAGAATGCTCTGTATCAGTGACCTGTCTATGTTATTTACCCTCCACCAATATTTGTGCCATCTACAAGATTTACAAGCAATGGTTTTATATGTAATTCTAAAGCATTCATAAAAATATTGAATAGCAGTGGGCCAAGAACAGATCCCTACTGACCCCACTAGA